TATACAAGGCTGGGGTATGTAAGGGGGAAGGTATTCTGGATCTTGAGTTCTGGAGTTGCCTTCAGAGAAAACCAAATCTCCTTAAAAAATAAAAGCCCTCTCTAGAAAGAGGGGGATCAGGTCCTCTTCTTCCTTTGAGATGAATCCAGATGACTGAGTTCATCTCATGGGATCATAGTAATAGCTTTAGACCTAAAAGGTGCCTTAGAAGCTACTGAATTCAATCTTCTTATTTTGCAGATGAGGAAACTAAGGCACAGAGGATTTAAGATTTGCCCAAAGTCATAGGGGTAACTAGTGTCTGAGGAAGGATTTGACCTAATTTTTTCTGACTCCAAGACCGGTGCCTATTCTCTCCTCAGCAGGACAGGCCTCAGAGTAGGCAGCAATGACTTTAGGGGTGTTATTCAAATGCCACTCAGTCCCAAAACCTCTCTCCCCCACTGGCATTCCATGAGGGCCTGAAATTCTTCCTCTTGGAGTCACTGATTTGGGTTACGCCTTTTTCTTCAGAAGACCCCTATCAGGAGGTAGCTGTTGCCAGGAAGGGAGAAACAAATTCAGTCTTAAAATAAATGTTCAATAATTGAAAAAAATTAGTTAAAAAATAAAGATATAATCACATGCACAAAACAGATTTGTTTTACAAATTACTGTGGGACCTGGGTACCTGGCAAAATTAAATTGTAGAGGCTACTTGGGGATTGGGAGGGGTGAGTTTTCTTGAGGGTTCAGGAGGGCAGGCATGGGTGGAATAACAGTTGATAGCTGGAGAGGGGAGATAGAAAAGAAAGCAAAAACTCCTTTTTCACAATATTATTTCTCTGCCTGACGTATCTTATGGCACAACAGAGAACCTTAGAGTAATGGTGGATCACAGAATGTTTGGACTGGAAGAAGACCTTAGTCTAACCCTTTCATTTAGTTTTTAAAACTGTTTTTGTTAAAACTTAGCAAATAATGTCAAAGAAGAACAGAAGAGGATTGTATATGAAAAAACCCGTGAACTTCTATTATGTTCAATGCTTTTGTTTGTTTTGTTTTTTAAGTAAACTACCACTATTTTCCACCCAGCTGTACTCCTCTGGATTTCACTAGGTACTTCAGGAACCTCATTGTCCTGCCAGATCACATCAGCTTGGAGCTCATACCTGCCCAGTACCTCATGCTCCTGGGGCTCCTCCTTCCCTCTTTAACAAGAGGGTGGGAGGTTGGAGATCTGGAGGGCAGCCAGGCTTGCCATCTCTTCATTTCCCATCCAGGTGCATTCCTCTGAAGTTCATCATGCTCCCCTCACTGGTTTCTTTTTATATGTATGCTATCTTTCCCCTAATGGGAAGATTGTGAGCCCCTCTTAAACCCCAGTGCCTTCCTTCTGTTATTTCCTATTTATCCTGTATATAGCTTGCTCTGTATATATTTGTTTGCTTGTCTCCCCTTTTAGATTGTGAGGTCCTTGAGGGCAGGGACTATCTTTTTGCCTTTTGTATCTTCAGCACATGGAGCAATGCTTGGTAGGCACTTAATAAATGTGTTTATTGGCTGACTATTGACTGATTGACTCAATTCTCTAATTCAGTGGGGATAAAATCATCTGTGCTCCGCCGTTATATTCAGTGTTTAAACATAGATATTCAATTTAACCTAATAGTGACAAAAATGGTCTGCTTGTCTTTTCCTGCTTCTGTATGTTGTGTGTGCGTGTACGCATGTTTCATTGGCTAACCCATTTATTTTACAAGGGAGTCAAAAAAGGCCCAGAGAGATGAATTAATCTTCTTGCAGGTGGTGGCAGAACCAGAGCTAAATTCAATGCCTTCTAATGCCGAGCCCAGGGTTCCTTCCAGACTGAGGCCAGCAGGGAGGAGTCCAGCAGAGGCCAGCCCTGCCGTGGGTAGCTCCAAGTCCGCCAGGGAGGACAAGGGGCCCCCCCTGCACTGTGTGTAGTGCTTACTCAGTAAATGTCTGAGGATAATTTTAATTGCACTGGAGAGAGGATCTCCAAAGCCCCTTCCAATGCTACAAGTTCATGTGGCTGTTCTGGAGGCCCTTGGGGCAGGTGCTGGGGAGGTTTGCAAAAGTGCAGGTGGACTACCCTAGCCCGACCAGGCCTGCTCCCCAAGCTAGAAAGTCATTGTTCTGTGGGGCTTTACAGATCTTGAGCCTGCCTGAAAAGTTGACTGAAACCTTGGCCTAAGGTTAGCTAGCAGCAGCCCCTATCCATCCTAGGCAGGAATGTATCCAATCTTGCCTTGACCAACAAAGATGGCATTTAAAAAGTAACTCTATAACCATCCTCAGCCACCTCCCTTATATTTGGAGTTCTTCCTTTTATCAAACCTAAATCTATGCTTCTTGTTATCTGTGCTCATGCCTTCATATCTTGTCCTCACGTAAATAGAGATTGGCTGGTCACTACTCTCTAATAAATAAATAATTCCAGTTTGTGTAATCTTTCCTCCTGAATTTTATCCTTGATATTATCTTTGAAAAGCTTTTCAAGGCTCCTCTATCAGTGGGAATTCACTCCCCTTCACTCTTTCCTAACCAACTTCATTTGTCATTGCTTTCCATCTTGTCTTTGTCCTCTTTTTTTTCCCTTGGCAATGCAGTTAAGTGACTTGCCCAGGGTCACACAGCTAGTAAGTGTCAAGTGTCTGAGGCCAGATTTAAGCTCAGGTCCTCCTGACTCCACTGCCCCACCTACTTGCCCCTGTCCTTCCCTTCACACTCTCCCCTCCACCCTACCTGGAGTGTCTTCTTGCCTCTTACTCACCTATTCACATCCATCCATGTCTTTAAAATCTATTTTGACTCCCTTCTGCCATGCCCCTGCTGACTAAACATCCCACATTCAGTTTAGTCATATTTCAGTCCTGTCTGGCTTTGTGACCCCTTCCTAGGGTTTTCTAGGCAAAAAGTTTATCTTGTCATTACAAAGAGATTGCAAGTTCCTTGAAGGAAGGATTATTTTTTTTCCTTTTGTTTTCACCAAGACTTCTACTAAGGAGATACATATTTTAAAATGCCTTAAGGTCTGGTGATTCATTAACATGGGTACTCCTTCCAAAGAGATCACAATCTATCCAGCCCATTAATTCCATGAAATAACAAAAATAATTACCATTTATATGGTGCCTACAGTGTGACAGGTACCATGCTAATTGCTTTACAAATATCATCTCATTTGATCTTTACATTAATCCTGGGAGGTAGGTGCTATTACTATCCCCATTTTACAGATGAAGAAACTTAGGCAGACAGCACTTTAATGACATGCCTAGGATCACATAGCTAGTGTCTGAGGTTGGATTTGAACTCATCTTTCTGAATGCAGACCCAGAGCTCTCCATTCCACTACCACACCATTACTAGTAATAGTAATAATTAACATTTATACAGAGTTTACTATGTACCAAGAGCTTTGCTTTTATCCCATTTGGTCCTCTCAACAATCCTGCAAATATATTACATCCAGTTTACAGATGAGGAAACTGAGGCAAAGTTCAGTGTCTTGCCCAGGGTCACATAGCTAGTGTCTGAGGCTGGATATGAACTCAGGTCTTCCTGACTCCAGGACTGGAGCTCTACTACATCACCTAACTGCCTCTAGTTACTAGTGACCAGAAAAACTCATCCATCTAGATTTAGTGACACTGGTCCTCTGCCTGCAGACGCAGTTCTGTCAGTCAACAAGCATTTATTAAGCACATACTGTGTGCCTTGAAGCTTCTTTTTCTAGGCTCTGCAGGGACTCCATTGACATAGCCTTGGAGACCTCTCGGCTCCATTTCACATCATGCTGACAGAGGAGGGCTTCCCAAATTTAAGTGGATCCCACTGAAGGCTTACTGGAACTTGTCCCAGAAGAAGTGGGAAAACGTACCTCCCTCCCTCCTCTGCTGAAGCAGGGGACTGAGTTTGAAACATTGCACATCCTGGGAGTGTCCTTGATTGTGGTTAGTTTTGCTGGACTAATTTTTAAAAAAAATTACTTTAAAAGATTACTTTTTCATTTGTTGTTACAAGGCATAGCTGCTGGACAAAGGAGTGGGAAGATATGTAGAATGGTGATAACGAAAACAAAAGCTATGAAAATATAAAAAGAAAATTGCTCACTCTAAATTTTTAATAAATTTAAATCAGGAAGACCTAGGTTGAAACATATACTTAATAGTTGTGATTATGTGCAAATCACATGCTGCCCCTCCTTGTGGCTAAGTTTCCTCATTTTAAAAGAGGCACAATACTTTTACCACTAGGTAATACTTTTTTAAAAAAACACAAACTGAATCAGTTAAGTATTGCAGTGGACAGAGGGCTAGGCTTGAAGTCAGGAAGACTCAAATTTGGTCTCACTAGTTGTGTGATCTTTCATCACTGTCTACCTCAGTTTCCTCAACTGTAATATGGGGATAATAGCACTTCGATCATGATTGTTGTTAAAGATCAAATTACACACACACACACACACACACACACACACACACACATAGTTAAGTGAATTGCCCAGGGTCACACAGCTGGCGAATATCATGTGTCTTGAGACCACATTTGAACTCAGGGCTTCCTAACTTCAGGGTCCGTACTCTATCCACTGCGCCATCTACCTGCCCCTAAATGAGATATTTCTAAAGCACTTAGCACTGGTGCTTGGCATATAGCAGGTTCCCTTTCCTAGACTCAAATGAGACAACATATATAAATTACTTTGCAAATCTTTAAAGACTATGTAAATGTCAGCAATGATCACTATTTTTGGATGAAGAAGGTAAGCTGTACATTCCTGAACTTTGTTAGGAGGTAAGTCATCCTTAGTTTCAGAAGTCAAAGACAACTGTTTAGCTATATGATATGGACTTGGGTCAGTTTAAGGTTGTAAAAAGTGGGGGCCTCAAGAATGTCATCCTGAAATGGGTATATCCAGTAATGGACGAAAGGGCTTGGAGGGGACCCTGCCTTCCCCAAAGAGTATCATTTAATCTCCAAACACCATAACATTGCATTTTCTATTTTAAAAATTTATTACATCAAAAACAAATACAACCAAACCTAAAACCCAAACCAACCCAAAGATACAAGAAGATTGTAATCGAGGCTTTCTTGCCTAACCCAGAAAAAAAATCTGAAAACAGTTTAAAAAACAAAAGAAATAGAAATGCCAGCTTCAAAAATATTTATCCAAAAAGTAAGGCATCCACTTTACAAAAAAAAAAAAAACAACAATACAAGTAGAGGAACAGGTTGAAGGGGATGGCCTCCTCCCCTGCACCTTGGCTGCTTGCTCTTATCAAAACCTGGGCCTTGATTAATCAATCATATGAGGCAGAGGGGTAGAGAAGGATTACCTAATGTAGGCTAGAGGTTAAAAGTAGTGGGGAGGAAAAATGGAGCTGTCTTTGGAATTCCTAGTCCCTAGAATGAATTGAGATTTCAAAAAAGGTACTTCCCTAGCTACAGATTTATGTGGGGATGAGTGGTAAGGGACAAAGTCTGGAGAACGAGGAAGGAATTAACAGATCTCAGAGAAAGCTAACTGGGGATCCAATTTCCATGGACCCACGATCTCTAACCCCACAGGTATGGCTGAAAAGGTTAAAAATTAGCCTTAAAACAAAGGACCAATATCATATTTCTATAAAACCCATGGAAAACCAACTAAGACATTCAGTATATCTGTCTCAAGACATAGTGAGGGACTTAATTTCCAACATCTTGGGTAGCCAGCTAAAGGAACTCCTTTCTTCCACAGTGAGGAAGAAAGTAGATGCAGAGTTATTATTTTCAGACATATCTCTCTAAGCTAGCCTCCATCCTCCCTCATAAAAGTCCCCTTTGTCTCTATATTAGTGGTATGTCCTATCTTTGGAAATAAGTCCTGAAGGAAGGTAGGGGGAATGGGAGGTACTGTTTGGATTGGAGTGTATTTATAGGGGAAAGAAGTCTAGAGGGTTGCTTGGAAAGAAAGGGGAAGATAAAATGGCACTGGCCCTCACCTCAGGACATACTCCTCCCCATGACCTATCTCTCAGATCCCCATATCTGAGAATGAGATCCCCTGTGAGAAGTGGGTAGCTCCAGCAGAGAAGGAAGGATGTCTTAAGGGAGAAAAATGGGAAGATTCATGCCCTGATCTTGAAGTTGTCCCAGCCTTGATTTCAAGCTGGAGACTCTCCCTGTAGGGAGAGGCTCTACCCCAGGGAAGAGATAGTGTAAATCTGCAAAATGGCAGCACTGAGAGGTGCAGTTGGGGGTCCTTGGGGACAGAGAAGGGTAAATACCAGTGATAATTACCAAATATCTCCTTCCCACTAAGGACAGCCCTGAGGCAGAGAGAGCTGCTAAACCCTGTTACTAGTAAAAAAAAAAAAGCCACTTCTGTGAAACCAACCAGGAAACAAGTTTCTCTGGGTTCAAAAAGCTTTGGCACCAAACTGGGGGGAGCATACAGGGAACACTACAGTCCCTGTAATCTGGGACTTTGCAGATCTGTTCCACAGGCTTGGGGTGTGCTTGAATGCTTGTGTGTAGGGGAGGGGGAAGGTGAGGCAGGGGAAGAAGAGGCAGTGCTCATCCTTCATTGGTCCTTAACCCTAAAGGAAATTTGTACATGTCTGACAAGGAGCTACAAGTAGTCAAGACCAAGTGTGTGTGTGAAAGCACCTATGTCCTTTCTCTGAGACTCCTGCACCCTATGACAGGATCACAAGCTGCAGCTGCCATCAGTTCCCCTTCCCTCGAAGACCTCTGGCTTCCATGTCTGAGTTGTTCCTCCTTCCCAACTCAGGCCTCTGTTCCTTAAGCTTAGAAAGGGGAAGGAGAGAGAAGGCAATACCAAAAATGGTTGGATTCCTGAGGATGCTGCTCCAGAGGTTTTTGCCTGCTTGTGGGCACCAGGATTTGCTAAGGATAATATCTCTGGATGGCCCTCACTCTAAAAGTTGGGGTCTGTGTAGAGGAGATATCCCATGGCTAGACTTCCTCTCCCCTGCAGTACTGGTGAATGGTATTCCTACATAGACCCTACTGGTCTCTGGCTGGTTCTGTGGGTACAAATTACAGTGTCTTTATCTACCATTTCCCTCCCCTACCTCTCTGACTGCACGCACCTAAGAACAGTTTTGGGGTGAGGGTAAAGAAGGAGGCTGAGTGAAGGAGTTGAAGGGGGAATCAAAGGCTAGAAAAGCTCAAAGAAAAGCTGCTCAAAATCAGGGTCGGGATGAATCGGTTGACTCCGGCCCACTGGGGCCAGTCGATTTGTAGATGGGTTGCCTCTGTTCTTTCATGTCATCAAGAGATTCCTCCTCTTTCGATGGGCTCTCATCCACCTGGGGATACACGACCACACACAGCTTCTGGCTCAACGAGGTCAGGGATGCTGAGAAGGTGGGAAAAATGCAGGAAGATCAGCTCCTGGGACCGAATGTGATTCACCATGCAGAATGAGGTGGGATTGGCCCCCAAAACTCTCCTTACCGGAACCCCGCCTCTAATGGAGGAAATCCCATGAGCCCCACCCACCTGCACCTTCACTTAGGATCAAAATGTACAGATTCCTTCATCTGATGGCGCATTCTTCTTAAGATTACTAACTCACTCTAGCCCAAGTCCTGACAATCACTACCTTAGAGGCATTTCATTCTCCTCAATGCCACCAAAGATGGCATTTCCCCCAACTTAGGAGGCTGACTGATTTTTTTCTTTGGGAGGCAACTGGGGTTAAGTGATTTGCCCAGGGTCACACAGCTAACATCTAAGGTCAAATTTTAATCTCGGTCCTCCTGACTCCAGGGCCAGTGCTCTATCCACCTAGCTGCCTCCAATTTTTTTCTTTTAACTTCTGAGGTGACCTCCCCTCATGCATTTTTGGACTAACTGATTTTTTTTTTGGGGGGGTGGCAATTGGGGTTAAGTGACTTGCCTAGGATCACATAGATGGAAGTGTTAAGTGTCTGAGGCTGGATTCGAACTCAGGTCCTCCTGACTCCAAGGCTAGAGCTCTATTCACTGCACCACCTAATTGCCCCACCTCATGCATTTTTGTTCATTATAATTATCTATGTGTCTATATATCTATGTAGAGAACAACTGTGGTAGAGTGAATAGAGGGCCAGATTTGGAGCTAGAAAGGCATGGGTTCAAGCCCAAACTCTGGACACATACTGGCTGGCTGTCTGATCTTGAGCAAGTCACTTAAACTCTTGTGTCTCTAAGCAACTCTTTAAAGATGAATAACACCATGTACCTACTAGGAGTAGCTATTTTTTTTTTCATTCATTGTATTTAATTCCCCAGCACTTAGCAGGACCCCAGGCCAGGGTATACAAGTATAGAGAACAAAACATTACTTGAAAGGGTCTTATATTCCAGAGTTATTAATTGATTAAATGACTATAAATTACAAAGCAGGTGCTGATCTGAATTGGAGAAAGAAATTTCCTATTTTCTGCCTGAGAGTTCCCTATACTAATAAAAGTCCTGGGGAAGAGTGGGATGGAAGGTTGTTGCTATTCAGTTGTGTCCAACTCTTTGTGACCCCATTTGGGATTTTCTTGGCAGAGATACTAGAGTGGTTTGCCATTTCCTTCTCCAGTTTATTTTACAGATGAGGAAAATGAAGCAAACAGGGTTAAGTGACTTACGCAGGGACACATAGCTAGTAAGTGTCTGAGGCCACATTTGAACTCAGGACACTGAGTCTTCATGACTCCACGCCTGCTACTCTACTCACCACACCACTGTGCACCTAAACCACCACTGTGTCTGCCCCTATTAATTGATTAGATGACTATAAATTACAAAGCAGGTGCTCATCTGAATTTATAAAATGATTTTTCCCCCGGGAGTTCCCAATACTAATAAAACCCTGTGGAGCAATCCCCAAACTTACCTATGAAGTCATTGAAACACTGGGGTTTGTGCTGCCAATACACACCGAGAAAGTAGACAGGGACACCTGTCATCATGATAGCCAGGCCAATGCCACAAACCACGGGCTCCGACCACAAACTAAAGACCAGCAGGAAGGCCCAGAACAGCAGGTAGACAACAGGAAATAGCAGGCTTATCTGGTGGACAGATTTGAGATCCTGTTAGCCACAAAGTCTTATGAAAACATAATGGGGACACTAGACACTAAGATGTCTATCTCCCCTCCACTGCTCTGGAGGATCTAAATACCATTGTTCCTTCTCAGGATTAGAGTAGGCATTTTTTCCAGCCCAATGTGCAGCCATGATAAGGCTATGATTCAGCCACACATATCAGTACGACCTGCCCACAAACCCCAGGCCTACCTAGAAATTTATAACCTTTGCTTGTCCTTTTATTTAATTTTAAATTGTATTGGTATCACTTATTTGAAATTTATCACTTCCCTCACTCCCTGAGCCCTGTAACAAAAAAAAGAGAGGGAAAAAAAGTTTGGCAAAACTACCCAACATTATCAACCAAGTCTGATAAGGTGTACAATGTTCCACACCCAGAGTCAGTCTTTAACCTCAACAAAGAAGGGAGGGGAATATTCTCTCTACTAGTTCTTTCTAAGGGACTCTGGAATCATGGGGAGGCTAAAGGTATCTGAAGCAGAGTGTTTATCTGATATAGTAGTTCCCAAATATTTTCCAGTAACTAGTCTCCTCTCCCCCACCTGCAACACCCACAGCCTTCTATTATATACTCTAAAGCCCCAAGCAGTTGAATCCTGATAGAAACAGATGATTGGAATGGAGGTGGATTCTACGTCTGCTGGTAATTGAGTCATAACCTATGAGTTTGAGAAACATTGGTGTGCTAAGGTGAAGAGCAGGAGAAAAGTAGAAACATCTAAGTAATAGTTCCAATGTCATCATCCTCAGGAAATCCCCTATGATCCCTTCAGTAGGAATGACCTTTCTCTTCAGACCCCACACAGCGTGTGTGTGTGCACACCAGACATTGGCCAGACATTCTCTGCTGCATAACATATATAATAATTTTTATTGTTTGTCATCACCCATTAGACTGAAGGATACATACTCAGATTGGCTTTTTATTTGTTTTCTGATAAAGGTGTGTGATCAAAAGTTTGGAGACCTCTGATCTAGCAGAGGGAAATGGAAAAGAAAAGAGATCAGCTTTTTTGGAATACAGAATATTTGTCAGAAAGTATTGGGAAATAAAGGGGAATATGCCAATATGACATTTATACAGCTCATTAACAAATATGATCTCCATTAAACATAGGAGGGAACTGAGGGTCAGACCAGTCAAAAATAACCTGTCCAGTCACAGAGGTAGAAAGTATCAGAGACTACAATCTTCTTATCTAGTGTTACTTCTATATAACACAGCACCGTCTCTGGGAACTATAGATCTACATCATGGAGGATATTAAAAGTCAGACAGGAGTTTAGACTAATAATGAGAACTGTCATATCCTTAATGCTTTACATACACTATTGAATTTGAGTGAAATAAGAAATTGCACAGCAATCTTTTGTGTTAGGTACTTTTGCTACTTTTATCCCCATTTTACAGGGAGGAAACTGAGCCTTAGAGGTTAAATAGTCATGACAACAGAGCTGGAAGGAATCTTAGAGACCAACGAGAGTCCAACCCTTCCATTTCCCAGAGGCAAAGGGAAGTGAAGCCACTTGCTCCAAGCTATATAGCTAGTTAGAGGAAGAACTGGGTCTATAGCAACTATATGAACACAATTACAAAACATTTTTCACACAGATAAAGACAGATCTAAACAGCTAAAAAATATCAGTTGCACATAGGTAGGCCAAGCTAATAAAAATGACAACTCTACCTAAATCAACTTACTTATTCAGTGCCATATCAAACTACCAAAAAATTATTTTATATAGCTGGAAAAAATATAATAAAATTGATTTGGAAGAACAAAAGCTCAAGAATATCAAGAGAATAAAAAAAAAAGCAAAGGAAAGTGGCCTCGCCGAACCAGATTTAAAATTATATTATAGGGGGCAGCTAGGTGGCGCAGTGGTATAGACTACCAGCCCTAGAGTCAGGAGGACCTGAGTTCAAATGCGGCCTCAGACACATAATACTTCCTAGTTGTGCGACTCTCGGCAAGTCACTTAACCCAACTGCCTCACTAAAAAAAAAAGGAAAGAAAAAAAACCATATTATAAAGCAGCAATCATCAAAACTATTTGGTAGTGTGTAAGATACAGAGCGGTGGATTAGTAGAAGAGATTAAGTACGCAAGACACAGAAGCAAAATGATTATAGTAATCTACTTGCTTGATAAATCCAAAGATTCCAGGTTCTAGGATAAGAATTCACTATTTGACAAAAATTGCTGGAAAAACTGAAATAATATGGCAGAAACTAGGCATAGACCAACATCTCACATTGTACACCAAGATAAAGTTAAAATGGGTACATGACTTAGACATAAAGGGTGATAATAAATATTTATAGCAGCTCTTTGTGTGGTGGCAAAGAATTGGAAATTGAGGGGATGCCCATTAACTGGGGAACGGCTGAACAAGTTGTGGTATATGAATGTAACAGAAGAAATGATGAGCAGGCAAATTTCAGAAAAACCTGGACTTACATGACCTGATGCTGAGTGAAATGAGCAGAACCAGAACATTGTACACAGCAACAGCAACATTGTTCAATGATCAACTATGATGGAAAATGCTATCCACATCCAGAGACAGAACTAGAGTCTGAATGCAGATTTTCACTTTTTGTTTATTGTGGCCTTTTCCTTTTGTTCTGATTCAATTTTCACAACATGACTAACGTGGAAATATGTTTAGTGTGACTATGTATGTATAGCCTATATCAGATTGCTTGCTGTCTTGGGGAAGGGGGTTGGAAGGGACAGAGAAAAATTTAAAAGTCAAAATCTTATAAGAAAATAAATGTTGAAAACTACCTTTACATGTAATTGTAAACAACAAAATACTGTTTAAAAGGGGAAAAAAAAGGATCCAGGCCTCCTAATTCTCAACGGGTTTGCACAGATATAATGTGAAAAAAGCTAAACAAGCTAAAAATTGCTAAAAAAAAAAAGAAGCTCCTCAAAGAACAACAAGCAGATTTGTGGACTAGGGCTGCTCTCAGCCAGGAAAAGTTGAAGGGCAAGGGGCATTGGAATTATCAAGATCTCACCTTGATGGGGCGGGCGATATTAGGTTGCTTCCATCGCAGGACAATTTGCCCAGCAATTGTGACGCCATAGAATAAGTAATTGATGAAGCCTACATAGTTGATGAGCGTATATATGTCACTGGTCACCAGCATCAGCAGGGTAGAGATACACTATGAGGAAGAAAAGAAGTGTGGTTGAATTAGTGGTCTGAAAGGTATTTAGAAGGGACTTTGACAGGTCCCTAGATTCTTGATAGCCTCAGAATCTAAATGACGCCATTTTATAGATGCCCAGGGAAGATTCCCTTGCTTCCTTCAATAAGTTGCTCCCCTGACCTGCATTTCTTCGTAATATCCTTCCTGTTACAACTGATGAAAATTTTCATTTTTTTCTCTTGAGTGGAGATAGAGAACAAGTCATCAGCCTTTGTAAAATACCTTTTCATAGTATAAAAAACAGAAACTAATCCCTTTCATCCCTGTTTTGTCTTGATTTAATCATTTTACCTCCCATTACAACTTTTTCGTTGGTTTAGTTTTTCAATCATCTTGGCCATCATGTTCTCTTCAACAGCTCTTGGATGGAAGAGTCCAGTCCAGTATGGGGTATAATTTTCTATGGGGAGTCTGATCAATACTGAGGATAACAAGAGGGCTCTCATGGTTCTAACAAGTTAGATTAGTGTAACCCCACCTCAGTTCCATTGTTTATGATTGTACCACAAAATTAACTGATTCAAGCACTGCTTGTGGTCCACAAACCCCCTGGCATCAATCCCCAGCCTCATTTACATTTTTGATCATCCATATTTACATCCTGAATTATTTGGGACCTTTTTTTTCTATCAAAGTAGAAACTACTACTTTGTCTACAGATACATTGAGCTGTATTTCTGCTAATTTCTGACCAAATTTCAAATAACCCAAAGTAATTTTCCATTGTACACTTGGGACTGGAAATAGGAAATAATTCAAAGAAGTTTTAACGGGGAAAGTTTCTTCCATAGAATCCCTCTAAATTTCCCTTCTCTGGAAACGATGAGTAGGATGCTAGCAGAGAAACCTGGAAAGACTTACGAGCTGATACAAAGTGACATATACTGTGTACAAAGTAACAGCAATATTGCAGGATTATTAGCTCTGAAATGACTTGGCTATTCTCAACACAACGATCCAAGACAGTTCTGAGGGACATACGGTGAAAAATGATAGCCATCACCAAAGAACTAATGGTGTCTGAATGCAGAGTGAAGCATACTTTTCTTTGACAACATGACTATTGTGAAGTGTTTTACATAACTACACATGTATAACCTATTGCCTTATCAATATGGGGGGTGAGGAGGGAGGATGGGATAGAATTTAGAAATTTTAAAAAAAGTTTTAAAGTTTAAAGCTTTAAAAACAAATGTTAAAAATTGTTATTACAAGCAACGGGGGAAGAATAAAATACTAAATAAATTTTTTTTTAAAAAAATTTCCCTTTTCTTTTCTCCTTCTTTGCCAGATGTTTTAGGTTCATCAGCTTCCCTGACTCCCCCTACCATCCAACCCTAGTTTGGCAGCCTCTTTTTAAAATCTGCTGAAATATAGCTAAAGTTTATATAGAAATTTAAGGTCTGCAAAGCACTTTTACAAATATGACACCATTCTGTCCTCACAACAACCCTGGGAGGTGGGCGTTATTATTCCTGCCCCTGATTGTCACTCATAGGCAGCTCTTTAAAACAATAATTGGCAGAAAAGAAGGTACTGACCTACATTGGTGGAGGGAATTTCCTCACCTTGGAGTTCCCTATACCTATGAATTCACAAGGTTCAGAGCATATATCAAATCAGTTACAACTCAATAGAATTCAACAGAAAGCTAAAGGAGGGTGATGGAATGGTATATGTGAAAAGACTGAAACTGACAGCTCAGATGCTGATTAGAACAGGATGGAGTAGGCCCAAACAGAACAGAAATAGGAACAGGGAGGGGAGAGCTAGCCGAGGGACTGACTGATCCTTACCGTGAAGAGGAGAGCAGGGATAGGAGTACAACGTTTTATGTGTATCATAGCTAGCACACTGGGCAGGTGGCCCTCCCGGGCTCCAGCAAAGAACAGTCTAGTAAAGGGAGAAAAAAAGAAGTAGGGGTCTGGCATGAGGCCTCTGTTTCCTCTGAATCCAGAAAAAGAAGTCCAAGACTCATAGCATGCTCCACCCCCTCCCCTTGCAGCTTGCCCCATCCTCAACCTCCCCCCGATAAGGTTCCAGTATACAGGCTTCCCCCATCCATGCACACACACAACACACAAGACATATACACATACTGTCTCATTTATCTTTCCATGCTATCACAGAGGCAGCTGATAGATAGGCGCTGAGTAGCCTGGGAAGACCTGGTGTCTGAGGTCTAGGTTGTTAATGGCCACACCCTCTCCATGTTCAAAATCTATGTGGGGTTGGGCTATAGTAAGAGGAGATGGAGGAAGTGAGCAGGCCAGCTTTACGCACAGGCAGAGAAGGCAGCTACCTGCCTGAAATAATTTCAGGAGCTGCTGGGAAGGTCACCTCCGTAAAATACCTTTTTCCACTTTGTCATATCTGTAACTATACTATGTTTTCTTCCTTTTCATTGAAAGGACAAATCTCTTCTGAATAGAAGAGAGAGCTCTAAGTTCTTATTAGTCATTTATTTCTTAGTACGAATATTGGCCAAAGTGTAAGGGAGGAGATAGAAAACCAGAACTAGGAGTCTAGGACTCCAAAGATGGAACCACTAATTTCAGTTCTGTCCAGGGTCACCACTGGGGGTGGGTGGGTGAAGGGAGGGGTTGACCAGGGCTGGCAGTCCATGAGTCAGTCAGTCAACAAAAATTTATTGAGTGCTTATCATATGCCAGGCATGACAGTAAGGCACCAAAGACACAAAGGCAGGCAAAAACATGGTCCCGCGCTATGACAGGGTGAGATTGACACACATAAGCACTGTTTGCCAGACTTGTACAGACCAGAAGCATAGGAATCTGAGATATGGCACCAGGTAACCTCTGCCACCAACTGCCTTGGCCTCCCTGCCCCACCCACCACATGCAGCCATACACATGCCTGGGTGCTCCAGCCCACCTGTGGGCACCCCCTGGCAGGGAGATGTCATGACCCAAGAACAACCCCAGATACAGCTGAGTCTTTACACACAGCTTTATGTTTGCCTCTCCTATTGGTGCAGCCAACACCGCCCCCCCCATCTATTATCCCAGTATCCAAACATAAGGCTGCCTAAAGACAATCCCTACTCTATAGCTGATGACTGATGAAATTAGAGAGGGTGTCACACCCAACACCCACTTCCACACCTTGGCAAAGATCCATCCATTCCATACCTGAAATGAAATCTTTTTAAGGGAAAAGTGAATAAATAAATGGAGAAGGCCCTTCCTCCAAGAAGGGCATTAGGAGTGGGTCGATGATGTGTGCAGATGACTAGCACACACATACATAGCCTGTCCCTTGCATGCACACACATACAACTACACCTACCCACGTGCATCCAGACCTGCCTGTGTGACCTGCCTGCAGGGACAAACCCAGCTCTAACTTGGCTTTAGTCACTTTTTCTTCCAAAAGATCCCAGAGAGCCACGATGGACAGACTCTCTTCCAGGGCCCTCCGCTGTGATTTCCAAGGCCGTGGCAGCTCCTGTTTAACAGGCACATGACGTTGCCATGGGTGAGTGTTTGGTGCCCCAGTTACAGGAATGGTACCAGGACTCTGTACTTTCTCTGCACAATGCCCCCCAAATATGGAACCTTGGTCCCCTCATGGGAATTCCTGCTGCTGCTGAGGTAGCAGTGTGTTGGCTGTAAGCCAGGGTGAGTTAAGCTCAGAGGCAGCCCAGTCAGTAAGCTGAATATAGTGGGCGAGACAGCATGTGGCCTCCCTGGCTGCATGACTGACTCCGATTTGGGTATGAATGCTCCCCTCAGGCTCTGGCCTTCCCAGGACCACTGGGTCACTCAGTTCCAACCCAAACCTACAGAGTTTTGCTGGAACCCTTCCTGGCCTCCCCCATGGCATTCAGTTCAAGGTAAAGAAGATGAATCCTCTTTCTTTCTCCTGCTTGTCTCCTCACTCAACACCAAGTTGCTTGAATGTGTTCTTACAAAGGTCACGGTACAAACCACTTGGGAAGCCAGGCTGGGTACCTACATGGCCTCTTGCCTCTTTTCCCTACGTTGGTTCCCCAAAGACAGTCATATACAAGTCAAAGTCTGCCCTGATGGGTCCAAAGGAGGGAGGGCTTAGATGCTGACTCTTTCCCTAGGATCATAGACACCATCTAGTCTAAACTCCTCAATTTACAGATGAGGAAACTGAGGCCCAGAGAGGTTTAGTGTCTTATTCAAAATCACACAAGGCAGTAAGCAGAAGAGCTGTGATCTGAACCCAAATGTCTGGCTCCAGGTGCAGTGGTCTTTTTCAGTGCCACACTCAAGAATCATGTCTTCCTCTCTCCCTGTCCCCTCACGCAATGGTTGCTTTTCGCTCTATCCTCGTCAGCAACTGGAAGCCCAAACAAATGGACCAAAGAGACCCCAAGACTTTTCTGTCCCCTAAGAGGTCATCAAAGCTGAGAATGAAAGGGACTGGGGGCTAACCCCACTCCCCACCTCTTCAAATGAAGTGAGTCCAAAATAGTAAAGGTGCTGCTTTTTCTCTCTCCATCCAATGGTAGGAGCCTTAGAAATTACTGTCTCCTGTACATGCATGTATGAGCACACGCACACCACACACACACAGAAGCACATGCCTCTCTATAAACCCACAGAGACATACACAGAGATAAAGAATCCACATAGAATCACTTTCACATGTTTTATGCGTACTTATCTACCTGGATATACAAAAACGTGGGTACATATGCATATACACACACACACAGACACACACATTATTGCACACAAGGCCATTTATACAGCCAGGCTTCCCACTCCACTCACAGTGTAGAGGCTGGACTCACCTGGAAGACGTAAAGAGAGATCCGTTGACGCCACCGAATGTGGATAGCGCAACTGAAATGGGCATGATCCAGGCCATGACGCCGAGAAGCTTCTCTCCAAAGGTCTAGAAGAGGAGACAAGGGACAGGTGGAAACTGTGCTGAGCTTCCTTACAGAAGGGGCCCTGCTTTGCTGTTTTTTCTCCCACCAGTGCTCCTGTTCTCCACATAGCCCTATCCACAGGATGCTGATGCTGCCTGGGCCAAAGAGGTCTTAGCACTCTCTTTCTAGGTCCAAAGTTGACCACATCCACCAGCTGCCAGTGCCACATCTCTGGCAGGCATCCCTTTCTCTTCAACTTACATGGCAGCACCCGAGTTCAAACAATTATCATCTCTCACCTAGACTATTATTAATAATAAGAATTAGCATTATATTTATGAATTATTTTATAATTATATATTTATAATTATTACTTAAGAAAAATGGCTAGACTTTATATGAGGCAGCTAGGTGGTACAGTGGATACAGCAGCACGCCTGGAGTCAGGAGGACCTGAGTTCAAATGTGACCCCAGACATGTATTAGATGTGTGTCCCTCGGTAAGTCACTTAACCCTGTTTGCCTCAGTTTCCTCATCTGTAAAATGAGCGGGAGAAGGAAATGACAAATCACTATAGTATCTTTGCCAAGGAAACCCTAAACTGGAGTCACAAAGTACAGCAGAATTGAAACAACTGAAAAGTACAAAAGCATAGTGCTTTATAATACTTCATTTTATCCTCACCAAAACAAAGGGTACAGGGGACCCATGAGAGAAATTCAAGCAATCTGATACGCCACTATTTTGAACTCAAATTCTTGGCTAAAATCAGGTATGTGTGAAGCAGGGACGTACGTATTACTATCCCCATTTTCCAGAAGAGTAAACTGATGTACAGAAAGGTTCAGTGCCTTGCCCATGATCACAAAGCTAAAATATATATGAGGCTAGATCTGAACTCCTATTCTCAGCTGTGCCACCTAACTATCCTTTCTCGTCTTTCCTCTCTCCAATCTACCCCCCCTATAATTGCCAAAATAATCTTATAAAGCCCAAGTGTGACCATGCTACTTGCCCTGATCAAGAAGGTTCTTATAGTCTCTAAAATACAAACTCATCAAGTTGGCAGTTAAATCTTTTCACAATCTGCCTCAGTCTACCTTTCTAGGCTTATAGAATATTCTTGTCCTTTGTACACTTAACACTGACCAACTGACCTGCTATTCTCCCCATGCTTGGCACTCATCTCCTGCACCCCTGCCTTTGCACAGGGTATTCCCCCCACCCACCCCTGCTGCCCCTCTAATGTACTTGCCCTTTTTACCTCTGCCTCACAGAATCCTTAAGTTTCTTTCAAGGCTCGGGGCTTCTATTATCTGCTAAGATAAGTGATTCCAGACTGTCTCCTCCACATACTATCTCATCTATACCCTTATATGCTCACTTTTTATATCTATCTCCCCCTCCCAGAAGGGTATGGACTTTTTTTTTCATTTTGTCTCTATACTATCTTGCATCAGAGAATACGCACTTCATAGCTTGTTAGATTGGACTGAAGAACAGACTTCACTCCTACTGGGGAAGGAGGTACAAAAGATGCCTCTTCTAGAGATACACAGGCCAGAGGCCCATAAAAACTCATTCAAGGAACCTGATCTCCCACTATTCTGAGCATGCATACTTGGCTAGAGTTCGGTCTGTGAAAGTCTTCTCACTGTTCACTCATATGAGAGGCAGCACAGTGGAGGGAGTAGAGGTCTGATCGGGGAGTCAGAAAGGTCTAGATTTAAGTTCCATTTCTGACATGAGCTGACTATAACCTTTGGGCAACAAAGAGCAGCAGTTGCTGGTCTGCTTTGGTAGATCTCACCAGGAATTGCTTGAAACCAATGACAACATAAATCCAGACAAAAGTTGATTCAAGTCCTAGGCATGCACAGCTTCCACTTTTCTCTCAAACCCTGGTTGCCTTGAAGACCCAGCTCAGGTCCTACTTCCTCCATGATTCCCTTCTAACTACTATGAGTTATCACTAACCACTGCATTTCAACGAATGTTTACTGACTACCTACTAGGTTCTAGGCCTTGGGCCTTGGGCCAGGCACTCAGGTTACAAAGGTGGTGTAAAGCCTGACATCAAGGAACTTACAATCTCATGTAAAAATTACAATACAGCTTTTACTTTACTACAATAAGTCCCTCAAGAGTCATGTCTTTCCCTCTTCCTCATCCCCTCATATTCTCTTCTTGCTCTTTTTTCAGCAACAGACTGGCCCCCAGAAAAATGGTCTGGCAAGGCCCAATAATAAGATACATAAAGGAAAAAATAGTCTTCCTCCTCTGAATTCTTGCAGCACTTAAGAGTTGGTATGGAACAATTTGGCACTTAATTCTATATGTTCTTACATAATGCCTACATTGTTGTTTCTGCTGCCATCAGTTTTCTCTCCTCCGTAGATATGAAGCAACTCTGATCTGGCCAAGACTGGCTTTCTCTGCGTCCCTCATAAACAATACTCCATGGCATTTCTATGCCTTTCCATGGCTGTCCTCCCCTCTGCCTCAAAGGATCTCTATTCCTTTAGGACTCAGCTTTACAAATGCTAGGGAGCATCCCGTTCTCTCTCTCTCCCTAACTATTTAACAATTTCATGTTTATCCTGAATATATTTATGTACTTGTTTTTTCTCTTGTTAGAAAGAAAGCTCATTGTAGACAGAGTTTTTCTTTTCCCTCCAGTTTTTGTATCTATATTCTGAACTCCTAGCACAGTATCTGGTCCATAGATGTTTCTTTAGTAGCCGCCATAGCCCTTATCCTAGTATGGGTCACCCAATAGGCACTCAGTTTATATTTGTGGGGTCATTCAGCGGTCAGAAAATTATAGCCTGGGCCAAGGTATTTTAAAATGTAAAGACCATTCTCAGATGACAGCAGGACAGATTTGGTTGTAGTTTGCTTACCCCTTGCTATAAAAGCAAATGAACATTTGAGGAAGGGAAGAAAATCCATGAAAGTTCAATCACTGGCCGGTGAATGCTTGTTAAGGGAGGGCTTACAGTGGAGCTGAGATTAGATAGAGCACATTCAGGAGACAATTCTTCCCTGGGGATTCAAGAAACTGTTGCTACTAGCCCTGATGCAATCTCCTGAGCAGCAACTCATAAAGGAGGAAACGATGGGTTTGAAGGCTCCCCATATCACAGGCTTTGTCTGTCCCTTCTGGAGAGAAACAATCAGGCCTGTGTTTCAAGATGATGATTTGCAAGAGTTTGCTACTTTGGACTGGATTCAAATCTAATCTACCACTGATTTACTAGGTGACCTATACACGATCAATAATTCAATTCTGTTCAATTTAATCCAGTTTGATGAATATGTATTAAGTGCCTATTATAAGAAAGGTATGAGTGTGCCAAGACTGAGGATTACAAAGACAGAAAGAAAACGAAACAATCCCTGATACAGGTAGTGTTGCCATGATCCACATTTTTCATTTCTTTTTTTGCTTTTTGGTGAGGCAATCAGGGTTAAGTGACTTGGCCCAGGGTCACACAACTAGTAAGTGTCAAGTTTCTGAGTCCAGATTTGACCTCAGGTCCTCTTGACTATAGGGATGGTGCACCATCCACTGCGCCACCTAGCTGCCCTTTTTCATTTCTTTCTGCTTCAGTTTTCTCCTCTATAAAATGGAGAGAATCATCCATGCACCCTCTACCACCTGAGGATTTAGGTGGTACAGTGGATTGAGTGCTGGGCTTAGAATCTAGAAGACTGGATTTCAAATTCAGTCTCAGACACTCACTAGCTGTGTAACCATGGGTAAGTCCCTTGCTAACCCCAGTTTCTTCAACTATAAAATGGAGAAAATAAGAACACCTACACCTCCTCCCAGGATCATAATTGCAAAGCTCTTAGGACAGTGTCTGACACGTAATAGGTAGCACATAAATGCTAGCTATTGTTATTCTGACTGTTGTCAGCTGAATCTTGATTACAAAGTAAATTCCTCTCCACCCTCTGAAAAAAGAACTACTAGGCAATGTCACTGGAACAATGGACTGTTCTTGTCACAGTATAGTATTAGCAACTCCTGTATTATCTTAGTAATGAGTTCATCCTTAACAGACCTATGCTATCTGACAAGGCAGGGCCCAGAGAAATCCAGAGAGGGTTCAACAGACACAGCCAATGGGTTGGAAAATATTACTAGGAGGAAAGACTGTGAGAACTAGCTAGCTGTTATTTAGCTTGGGGAAAAAGGCATTGTGGGGTTGGATAATAACAGTCTTGAATTGAAAGGTGATTGTCTATTCTTCAATCTCTGGGGACAAGCCCATGGATGGGGGACTTTGATTAGAGAAGAAGAAGAATTTCCAAAGATTAAGGGCTACTAAAGATTAGAATGGAATACAGGAGACGTGGCCCTCCCTTCTCCAAAGGCCTTTAAAGATAAAGACAGATTCCATCTAACACACAGTGGGTTTGAGCAGAATGGGATGAACCATCTAACCTCTAGCCCTGAGGGATTAAATCATATGGTCTCTTCTATCCAAAGAGAACGTATTGGTTACTCTCACACACTTTTCCATGAAGTAAGAGAGTGGTTAAGATCAATCTTTCTAGAAGAAATAATGACTTGCCTAGGATCACAGAAGTGCCTAAAGCAAGATCTGAACTTGAGTCTTACTGCTCTAGGCCCAATGAGCTACCCAGGGGGCCACCTAGCTAGCTGCCTACTACATAGCAAAGCTGGGGTTTGAACCAAGGTGCCTCTAACTTTGAATCCAGAACACTTTCTGTTACGTCCTCAATCATATAGTCATAGAGGTTAGCTGTAAAGGGAGTTTGGTGGTCATCTGCTCCAATCTCCACACTTACAGGCAAGGACATGGATGCTCAATGAGGGTAAGAGATTTGTCCAAAGTCACACAGTACCCGAACCCAGGAGAGCTGATCCCTGGAGCTCTGTCCACTAGATGGCAGGTATCCCACCTTATAACACAAGCTCTACTTGGCAGGACATTTTTTTGGTGTGCTTTTGTTTTTCCTAAGGCTGGGCCTAAAAGGATGATGCTCAGGCTTTGTGGTCCCTGTGATATTTAGTCAACTCTGCTGATACTGGCAGAAGTTAGTGAACTGGGGGGAAGTGGGAAAGAAAGTTAAGAGGTGGACTGGAATTCCCGTTCCTGTGTACTCTGACTTCAGAGTGAGCAGCAGCAATTCCCAACTGGGGACTAAACTGAAAAACCTCCTTATTGAGGTTCCTGCCCATATGACTCAGATCACCGGGGGAAAAAGAGTTCAGAGATTAATTACTCAGCCAAACTTCCTGCTTCAAGGGTCCTTAGGCCCCAGAGGGAGCTTCAGAAATATGGGAATCCTTACCACAGCAACAGCATTGGAGGCCAGCAGCTCCTGGGGTGACATCGCAGTGACATAAGCAATGTTGGCAAAGACGTACACAAAAGTGACCAGAGGGATGGAGATGAAAATAGCTCGAGGAAGGTTCCTGCCGAGTGACATAGGATGAAAAGGGGAGGAATCACTAGGTAGAAGAACTCACTCTGCACAACACCACACACACACTCCATCCCCCTAGGTTCCCTAAGATGGAATAAAGGTGTTCTGTCTGGGATTCTATTCCTCTTTTGAGGCTTCAAGTTCATAGCCTGTCCTTGGGGAAAATATTCAAAGTTAATCAAGTCATTTGGAATAAATTCTGCCTCAGTCTGGGCAGACTGCCTAGACAGAAATGAAACAGCTTGGAGAGATGTATTCCAAACCTACTGTTGATACAAAGAGGTTTATACCTTTGCTCCATTCTCCAGGATGCTCCACACCCCCACACCTCCTAGGCAGAGCTGTTCCTGCTCTGAGACAGGTGGATGAATCATAAACCTTTCAGGGCTCAATCTTTTTTTTTTTTAGTTAATTGCTTTATTTTTCTTTTTTTAAATAAAATTTTCTATCAACTACATTTCAAGATACATCCTTACTCCCTCCTCCCTGACAGCTATGCCTTATAACTATGAATAAAAAAGAGAAAAGGAAAACTGTTTATCAAAACTAACCAAATTTGACATTATATGTATGGTTTGGTAATGACTAGTTAGTTCCACAATGTTCTCCACTTTCTTCCTGGTCTACATTACAGACACTTTAGGCAATTTTTAACCTGGCTCTGATGGAGACATCTGATCATTTTTCCCCTACAATGCCAGGAAAGGATCCTACAGTTTGAGAGCCAGAAGGAAACCTAAAGGTCATCTTGTTCAACTCCCTCATTTTATAGATGAGGGAACTACAGCTCAGAGAAGTTAAATGATTTGCCCAAGGACACACAGGTAGCGTGTCTGTGTGTGTGTGCATGTGTGTGCGTGTGTGTGTGTGTGTGTGTGTGTGTGTGTGTGTATGTACACACACACAGAATAGTTTAAGGTATACAAAGCACTTTCCTATAAACAGCCCTGTGAGGTAGGTAGTATACATATTATTAACCCCATTTGACTCATAAGAAAACTGAGGTTCGAAGAGGCTAAGTGCTTAGCCCATACCCTCAGGGCTGGTGGATGTTGGAAGCAGGATTCAAAGTCCAGCGCTCCTGACTATAGGTCGATTGCACTTTCTACCCCAGGAAGAGTAGAAGGAAAATAGTCCAAACTCCTTTGAAAAGAGAAGAAATACAGGCTCCAGTCTCTCCAGAAGAAGGTACTATGCCATTCAAGGATATGATAGACAAGGTGGGCTTTATCCTTACTCACTTGTAGGGATCAACCAGTTCCTCTGTCACATAATTAAGGAAGTTCCAGCCTCCATAGGCAAAGGAGCCCTGAAGGAAAGCCAGTGCGATGAGGCCGATGTCCGGCTTTTGGAAATTCTCAAAAGCGTTTTTGGGCTCTAGCCAGAAGTACTGTCCTGTGAACACAAGGGACAGGGAAGTTGTTTATAACAGTGCCCCACCCCCACCCCAAATCTGTGGTCTGCTGGCTGGCCTGCCTGGCCCCACTGACTGAAACAAAGCCATCTCTTGACATAGTCCGTAATGAAGCCTTAGACTCACAGGTGAGGCAGCAAAAAGTGTTCCAAGGGTACCGTTTTAAAAAAGATCTTGAACCCTGATCCTGCTTTCAAGTTCGAAACACATTTCCAAAAAAAATTTTTAAGTAGATTTAGAGATTTAGATAACTGGAAGGGACAAAGGCCAGAGAGGGAAGGGAAATTAAGGGGATAGTGGATGGGGTAAGAATAGCATTAGGACTCTCATTTCGCCCTTTTCACCTTTGCTGGTTCTCTTCTCTGGTCTCTGTGCAAGTTATGTGTATTTTCATCATGAAAAATGTGGAGAAATCATTTCATTCCAGAATTCTCAACACACCTTGTACTGTTCCACATGGTTGTATCATTTTGCTTTTTCTTGTTGGGTTAAATTTTTAAAATGTCTCTTTCTTATCTATTTTTTGCCCTGTCTCAGTCAGTCAATCAATAAACATTTATTAAGTGCCTACTATGAGCATTATAGTGCTCTATGATGTACTCTATACTCTCCTCTCCTCTGTAAAGTTGGCTTTGTCCATTATATTATATCTCAGTTCTAATGTTCTGTCCCTAGCTGATGACTCAATAAAGGTTACTGATAGATTGCAGTGGACAGGGGCTGCTCACAGTTTTTGGAATTCACTGAGTCTAATACCTAGAGATATAGAATCACAGATTAAGTTCAGAGCTAGAAGAAGCCTTTATTAAAATACTTCCATTTTACAGCTGAGGAGCTAAGGCTCTGAAAGCAGGTAACTTGCCCGTTGTCACTCAGGTAATAAGTGACAGAGCTGGGTCTGAAACTCAGGTCCTGACTCCAAATCCAGGGTCCTTTTCCACTACACCTTGATTTGCATAAAATGATATATACACCAATCTTTTCTGGCATTTAGAAAATGCAATAATGAGTTAAGAGTGGGAAGGAGAAATAAAGGATTCTATTTCACAAAAATATCATGCAAAGAACTTAGTTGGGATTTCCAGGGTAAAAGATCAAACCCTACACCTGGGGTTTAGGCCAATGAATGAAACCTCCCTATATGTCACCTGACATTGACTGTGAAACAGTGATATTATGCAGAGCCTGGTGGTGCCATAAGTCTCATGGAAACCAAACAGAATCTGGGCAGGGAAAGGAATAAATCTAGTGGAGAATGTTGGCACAATACCCAAGAATGTACCTCTCGGCATCGTAAAGGTTATGAGCAAATTGAAAATCTAAAAAACAAAGTAAGCAAAAGATACATAATTTCCCTCAGATATAAATAATATGAAGGGTATGGTTCTCATCTCAGATCAGGGCAGGGGAATCAATTCAATTATACAAAATTGACTAAGTAAGTGCAAGGCACCATGCTAGGGAGTCCCACTGAAACTAACACTGTGGGTTATGATATAGTCCAACATGTATAGAAAATGAATGCAAGCGCCTCTAACCCTTGCATTAAAGCAAGGGAAAGGAGTCACTCCAGTAGGGAAACTGGGAAATCTTATAGTGCACACATACAGGCATGTGTATACATATGTTACGTGTGTGTACCTGTATACATGTAGGAAGTATATGAAACCTATATGTTTGCTCTGCCTCACCTTTGCAGATTTGCACAATCCCCATGACAATAATCAGGCCCAGGGCCAAGAGCTTCCCAGCTGTGAAGACGTCCTGCACTCGGGTGGCCCATCGCACACTTGCACAGTTGACCCATGTGAGAAGCACTGAAATGACACCCCGTACATATGCACACTTAGAGACAGTAATTTCAGGCATTGCAACAGAGATTTGTATCCCCAGCACACAAGGACACAAATATACAGAAAGCCTTAAAAAGGATGGGATGATTTCAATGATGGCTCAAAAAAAATCCAGTTTGAATCTAGTAATCAGAAATTATGGCTTTGCAAAAGAGTTATGAATTGGAACTAGTTACTTTCATTCCTGGATGCTGGCAAGGATCCAAAGGTGGGCAAACATGGGTGATGACTTTGGAGAATTCACAATTTGATACATTACACACAAGTACCTTGTCTCCAAGTCATTGTGTGTCCAAGGGTGTCTAACTTCTAGATGTATCCTACATATGCTCTCTCAGGACCCCATTTGCGTAAAGTAGGGACATAGAAGAAATCTTGACTGCTCTATCACAGAAATGGTTAGGAAACCTATTTCCCACTTGAACTGGGCAGTACAGTGGAAAGAAGATGTAATTTGAAGTCAGAAGACCTGGAGCTTCAAATACATACCTACAATTTACTATCTGTGTGATCCTGGGCAAGTCATTTGACTTCTCACTTCTCCAGGTCTCAGTTTCCATATCTGAAAAATGAACTGAATGGTCTAGATTGCCTTTAAGGTCTCTTCCAGCTCTGACATTCTATAACTGTAGGATTCGGTGAGACACTGAGGATAGAATCACTTGAAGGGAAAGGCATCTCCTGTTCCATTCACATGCATAGGATCATGGAATTTAGAACTGGAAGGGACCTTAAGATAGCATCTAATCTAACCCCCTTGTTTTAAAAATGAAGAAACTAATGGGGTAGCTAGGCGGCGCAGAGGATAAAGCACTGGGCCTGAAGTCAAGAGGACCTGAGTTCAAATCCAGCCTCAGACCAAACACTTGACACGTACTAGCTGTGTGACCCTGGGCAAGTCACTTAACCCCAATTGCCTTAAAAAGCAAAAGATGAAGATACTAAACACTTAGGAAGTTAAGTGACTGGTCCATAGTCACATAAGTAGTAAATAGCAGAACTGGGATTTGTACCAGAGTCCTCTAATTCCAAATTGGTGCTCTTTCCACCATACTCTGCTTCATTTTTTCCTGAAAGCCCAGTGGACGAATCTTCTTGTAGAGAAGTCAGCTGACTTTTTTAGACCTAGGCACTCTATGAATAGGTGCTAGGATGTACTTGAATAAGGGGCCAGTTACAACCCTGAAGACTTTTCCCCTAAAAAGAGATCAGAAATTTATGATGTTGTGGGCCTGGGAGAGGACTCCAGGTATGTACACATTGACCTACTGTTGGTTGAAGATACTGTTTCTTGCTCTTCTTTGGGAACAGCAATACTTTTCAGCCCAGTACCCTCAAACATGAATTATCCTAGAAATAATCCCTGCAGAGATGCAGTCTGGTAGCTACTTTCGTACATTCTACTCATAGCTACCAAAGATCCAGATAAGAGAGTAGTTGTTGTCAAAGTCCTTGACACTGTCAAACAGTTCAACCTAAGAAACTGATAGCATTTTTTATTTTCAGATGCTTTCTCATCTTATTTTTACATTATCCCACCAGCAAGGGTGGGCATTTATAAGTACTACTATGTCCATTTTACAGCTGAGGAAACTGAGGAATGGAATGGTTGTTCTGATTGGCCCAACATCATAAAGATGGGGATGACTATGTCAAAAATAGACCAGGCATCTCCAGATTCTCAACTTGGTGCAATTTACACTAAACTGAATGACTCCCTCTGACTCTGTTTGCATCCTGGACCTGTCAGGTCCCAATACCCTGGTGATGGATATGAAAGCAACAGTATGAGAAGGTGCAGTAGCAGCATAAAGCCCAAGAAAGCTAGTTGCTGGCAATACTCATTTGGCACTGACTGCTTCATTTTTTATTGGCAGACATAAATCCTCAACCTCCCATAGTCCCAACATCAGGCTTGATGATGTATCACATACCAGATACCCTCCCTTCTCAGCAGCTCCCGCTAGTTCACCAGCTTCCCTCCCTCCACTCAAGCCCTGCCTACTTTATTCATCATCACCAAACTGCTGGAGTAGACACATCAACTCTAGGTATGCATTTGTTGACTATTTTGAACCTGGCAAAACCATTTCCTAGGTTGTCTTTGACACCCTTGTCTCACCTCTCCGATTTCTCTCCGGACCTACTACAGAACACCAACCTCTATAAAATGATAAGCAAACTCTGATTAGTTTTTATGGAACAAACTGAACTAGGGCAAATTGGGTCTTCAAAAGCAGAAATCCTTGACACCCTGTGGATAAGCTGTTCCACAAGATAGTGTCTGTGTGAGCAGAATGAAAACATGTTGTCAGAAGGGGTATTCTGAGTGACTGAACAGAGAACATTTCCTAAAGACTTGAGCATTCCACAGGAATGAGACAGATGGGAGATAAGTGCACATTTATTTTAATCTTATATAATACAATATGGATTTCAATAAGTGAGGGAGGGTACAACCAAAATCACCTCATATTTAAAGTCACTGGGCTTATGATCTCAACTTTTCCACTGGACCTCAATGGTTAAGTCAGTAGAAGGTCGAATGCTGCATGATGACAGGCTGAGGAATTCAGAACAGACAGCTATGCTACTGATGGAAAGATCAAGGGAAATGTTTTCTGAGAGAAGATTAAAGGACAAAACTGGGTTGCTGAGGAACAAGTGAAGATTATCAACTAAGGGGACATCTGTTTCTGAGACCCATAGGAAAGAGACACAAAGTAGGGTGGAGAGGGAAGAAGAGAGAGGACATAGGTGGGAGGAAAAAGAGGAGAGGGCAGATGAGGTCTGGGAGACGGAGAGAACAGAGACAGGGAGAAAGGAGGACACAAGAGTGATGGGTAGAAATTATCACAGAATCATTGATTTAGTGATGAAAGGGACCTTAGGGATCACGGAGTTCAACTCCTTTATTTTTAAAGAGTAAAAATGAAGAGGAAAGTGAGGTAGAGAGAGGTCAAATGTCACACAAATCTGACCAAGTCCTGCAGGTCCATGAACTGCCTCCAGGTGAGAGAAAGGGAAGGGAAACAACAACAAAAAATCAGATAGAGGGCAAAGTACATCAGAAGACAGAGGGAGGACAGAGAAGAAGCAGATAGAGGGAAAGTGGAAGAGAAAGGAAGAGAGGGCAAGGAGAGGAAAGCACTGGGAAGAAAAGAGAAAGCTAGGGAGCACAGGATGGAAGATAAGGAGCTAAAGGAGGATAGGGAGGAAGGAGGGGAGGAGTAATGGCTATCAGAGGGAAAGAAAGAGGGTAGAAGTGAATGGAGATGAAATGGGGAAAGAGAATGGAAATGGTTGGGCGCAAAATAAGGGCTGTTTGGAATAGGAAACTGTGCCTGGGATAAGTGCATGTATGAAGTCCTGCCACCATTCATTCCATAGGGAAGAGCTGAAGGGAACAAACATTTATAAAGCACCTACTGTGTAGCAGGTCCTGTGTTACCAGTTTTATAATGACTATCACATTTAATCTTTACAACAAACCTGGGACCTAGGTGCTATCATTATCCCCAACTACCTTAAAAAAAAAAGTTGAACTGGCCCAAGTAGTGGAAAGTAAATTATCATTCTGTCAGTAAAATTTCCTTAACAGATAAACGTTGTGCAAATGGAAACAACTCTGAGGTACCACCTCACATCTTACCAGATGGGCAAAGATGACAAAATTGGAAAATGACAGCTGGAGAGGCTGAGGGAAAACAGGTATTCTAATGTACTGTTGGTGGAGCTGTGAACTGGTACAACCATTCTGGAGAGCAACTTGAAATTATACTCAAAGGGCTATAAAACTGTGCTTACTCTTTGACTGAGCAATATTTCTACTATATAACTGAAAGAGCTCAAAAATATTTACAGCAGCTATTTTTGTGGTGACAAAGAATTGGAAACTGAGGGGATACCCATCAATTGGTAAATACCTGAGGATACCAAGTTATTTATGGCTTATGAATGTAATGGAATACCATTGCACTGCAAGAAGGGATGAAGGGGATGGTTTCAGAGAAACTTGGGAAGACTTGTATTAACTGATGCAAAATGAAGTGAGAACTAGGAGAACAATTTATACAAATAACAGCATGTTGTGCTGTTTTTGTTTCCATGTTGTGGCAAACTCTGAAAGTCTTAGTAACTCTGGATAAACACAACAACTCATCACAATTCCAAAGGACTCATGTTGAAACATATTATTCACCTCCAGAGAGAGCAGATGATTTAAGAGTGAAGGTTAAAGGATATTTTTTTTTGGATGTGGCTAATGTCTGAATTTGCTTTATATGACTATACATATTTGCAGTGGATTTGGTTTTTCTTAGTTTCTCAATGAGGGTGAGGAAGAGCATTCAGAACAGAAAATAGAATAAGAATTGTTTTAAATGTAAATACTATGATAGATAATAAAAAGATCCATCAGGAGTTCTTAACCTTGGATTATAAACTTTTTAAAAATATTTTGATAACTATATTTCACAATATAATTGGTTTCCTTTGTATTTATATGTACTTCATTTTACGCATCTAAGAATATTATTCTGAAAAGAGGTTCTTAGGCCTTACAAGACTTGCCAAAGGGATCCATGACACAAAAAAATGCATTCCCTAGGGATAATGAAAGACCTGAAGGATAAGCAAATTCATCAAAATAGCTTATGGTGGGCCCCAAAGTGACCCCTAGTTCCCTTTCCTGTATCACTTTATAGCAACCTTTCCCCTCCCAACTATAATTAACCTTTCATCTTAAATGGGCTAGTTTAAAAGCAAAAAGAATAAGGAGATTGAAGGGGGGGGGGAGACAGAACAGTTAGTCTGGGGCTCTTGTGACACCTCATGTCCACAATGGCCGTACTCCTCCAAGTCTCGACCCTGCACACTGTGGCAGAGGATAACAGCATGTAACTGAAGGGGAAGGGAAGAGCAAAAAGACAGCAGGGTGCTCATTTGCAGTCTCTTCAGTGCAA